CTGTCGATCATCGAGTCCCGCTTCTCCTTCCTACGCTCTCCCATCGTCTTCTCGAGCTCCGACAGCTTTTCGCGTATCTTAATGAAGCCAAGATGCAGTTTGCCACCAAAATGGTCGGCCAATCGCCTGTCATTGTCGTGTATACCGAGATAGGCGCTGCAAACCTCGCAGACACGTAGCTTCTGCTGTTGATAAGAGGAGGCGGGCATGCTATTACGGTACTCCTGCTCAGCCTCATTCTTCTTCTTGCGCAGTTCGTCGATCTCACCCATGAGTTTCATCGACTCTTCAACGAAGCCCTCCTCGCCGAGCTGCTCCGCCTTGGCCAGCTTCTTGCCGATCTCCTCGGCGAGTACGTGTACATTATTGGCCTTGGCCGCGACCTCGGCGCTCAGCTCTTCCTGAGTCTCGGCGAGGCGCTGCTTCGCCTGCTCAGTACGCCGATCGCAGTCCGCTATAAAACTCTGCAGGTGCTCCATAGCCTAGAAAGTATTCGTGATTTAGTAATGGCTCGTTCCATGTACGCCGGTTGTCAGTAAGGTACGAACTGTTATAACTCACGTCGATGTCGTAAAAGTGGTCCTTCTTCTTCTGCGCGGCCTCGAAGTCAGCCCTCAGGGCCAAGTCGTGTATCTGGGGGCATTCTCCCAAGTCCATGCGCTGCGATTCATAAATGTTCGAGTAATTAGTGAGAGATGAGGCCTCGAGTAAAACTCAATACGGGACGTCACATTGCGGAGTCCCGTTTCGGATTATTTATATCTCTATCCTTCGTAAGAATTTTTAAGTAAATTTATCAAACGTACTAAGAGTACATCCACCCACAAGTGAAATCTATGTATGCTTGTTTCTATGTAAAAGGGTTATTATATACGCGTACACTTATAGCTCAGGTGCTGTTTGTGTTTTCTTACTGATTATTATTTATTAATTTATGTATTTGTATTGCGCATGCTCTCTGAAGTGAAGGTGGAACATCGTTCGAGCAACTTCTTTATTCGTTTACTTACATCGTGTTGACGCTAAGTATTTGTTTCTTAATGAAATGATAAATTCAAGGTTCGATTGCAACGCTTATTCATGAAATGTTCTTAAATAAAGACAATAATACTCGATAGAGATCGAGTAAGTGATGCATGGAACATTCATCAAGCTGACCGTCCAAAAGTGTTACGACGTAAAAAAGCAAAAAAGTCGATCAATACCTGGCCATACAATGTAAATAAATGCACCTTAAAGCTGTCGAAAGAATGTCTACCTAAACTTTGAAGACATCTGTTAGTTGTTGAAGAAAAAGCTCATCTACAATACTTCGGACAGAAACCCCCGATTTATAATATATAATGCTTGCATCAGTTAGTTACTCTAGTACTTTACTACCATTTTAGTGTTCCTTTCGGATATTTCATATTTTATATATATATATATATATTTTTTTTTTTTTTTTAAATATAAGTTTCTTTTCATGTTCAGACTTACAAAAGGCAACGTGTCTTCGGCATAAGTCTTCCACACCGCTTAATATTGCATATGGAGAGCTCAAAGACTGCTGTCGCTCTGGTAACGGTGGAAATTAACGCTAAATTGAGATTTCACCTACAGGAATAGGAGCTCGGCTATTTTCATGAAAAAATGCTGCCTTTCCATTACAAATATAGATATTTTTTATTGTCTGTTTTGAGTTTGTTTTTTTTCTTTGATTCAACTGAAGAGAGAATTATTTTAACGAATTGCGTAACGTAAGTACAGAGGAAAGTATCATAAAATTAGTTAACAAGAAAATAATGATAAATAAGTACAATAATAAACGTTCTATAGATAGATATTTTGTTGATTTCACTTACAGAGTGGTAACACCTCTCCGCCTGACATTGCGATGGACAACGATGCTACAATCAGCACACAACCATAAGTTTTTATATGTTTAGTCAGTTTAACTAGGTCAGAGCTTACAGTTAAATTTAAATAATTTTTTATGTTTGTTGTTGTTATTATTGTTGTTTTTTTTTTAATAATTTTTTGTAGTTGTATTTTTTTTTGTATTGAATTTTCAGGGTAATCATTCAGAAGAAACGATGTTTCTCGATCACTGATTCAAAAATTTGATTCTTATAAATTTCATATTTTTATACGTACGATAAGAAACACCTCCGCTGTTTATTCCATCGAGCCAAATTCCCTTTTAGTGTGCTTGCCTACTTTGTCGATTTTCTTTTGCCAATTGCCAAAGTTTGTTTACAATCAATATATGTACAGTGATAGGGGAAAAGTTTAAACAAAAATCAAAAAAATAATATATAAATCAAAAATAAAGAGAGAAGATTCAAAGAGACGTATAGAAGGATTGAATTAATTCGGCAAAATAGCTTAAACAAAATATTTGTTGGACATAATTGTTATATGAGCCATGCATTTTTGAATATAATTCCATTTTAATATAGATTTTACTGCAGATTTCAAAGAATGCTATACTATGAAATTGTAAGTAAAGCACGATAATTTAAACACCGAATACAGGAAAAACTAAGTATTCTTTTATGCAGTCCATGTGTATATAACGCAAATAAGTCACGATAAGAACAGAATTCTAATTTGGGTTTTCCAACATTTCACTCTGTATTAAATTGCTTATGATTGCTTCTGTTTTATTTGAATTTCCATTTTCCATTAAAAAGACAGGATATGCAAATATTTATTATGTATATGTATATATATTATACACGTATACAGTCGAGCGAATGACTTGGTGTTAAACAACCTCTTAGAAAGTAAAATCTTATTCAATCTATTTTTAATGGAAATAATTCAACCATCGATACAAAATCTTACACGTATAAAATAGAATCCAGAAGACAAATATAACTGATTTACATCTTGAAAATGAACTTTAGAACGACGGTAGAACCTTGTGCTGGATAACCCAAATGGAGTTAAAGATAATGTTTTGGCAATTCGCGATGGCTTACTTACAGTCAGTGCTTTCCTCTCATACGCTTCTGCGAGCAAAACAAAAAAAAAAAAAAGATATATCTCTCTCTTCTTTCAAACACTCATACTCACAGGAGTTCTTAAGCCTTATTCTCTCTTTCTCCAGGCTCAATTGATGTGCAAGCAAAGTTGTATACTGATTATCTGTCGTATAATCTTTTCCTTTACAAGGTCGCTCTACTCACCAAGAAACGTACAAGACAGGATTATTCGACACACGTCGTATCTTGGGATAATGGACAAATTTGACTCCGCAAAACTAAGGCGGAACAGCCAAGATGACAATCCGATGTATCTCTCCCAAGCAAAGTCAACATAATGAATGCATGTGCATGAGCCTTGGTAAAAATTCGTCTACATAAAATTTATAAGCCTACGAGGAAATAATTGTTATTGGTATTACAAAATTATCATAAAAAATTATGAGAATACTAAAGATCATAACAAAGCTGGCTGAAAAATATTTTTCGCTGAAATTGTTTATAGTTATTGGACAAGAATTAATCAAGTATTTTTATTATACCTATTTAAAATGATAATTACTTTAACGTTTTAATTTTACATTAATGATTGTATGTCCTGATAAAAATGCGAATGTATATGATTTCTGAAGAAAAAATCTTTAAGAATGATATAATTTAGTGCAGTTTGGTGCAGTCATTTATTTCCGAATAAGCTCATAAATTTCTAGCCTAGAAATTTCTACCAAGGCATGTATTTTTTTTATATGTATTATGTATGCGATACTTATAACCAAGTAACTTAATTATGTTAAGTAGAATCAATTGTATGTAATACGTACGTCCTTTTTATGTTTCTTTTTTTTTTTTTAATTATTCACTTTCAGTACTTACGGGCATAACGCGACCTTTACTCAACGTCTATGAACAGTACATTATTCAACAGGGTATTGCGTACAAATGGATCGCAATTGCTTTTCCAGACGCTCTGGAAATAGAGAACTGCTGGTGAGCAGTTCGGCATTAGTTAAGTTTCAAAGTGGCTGCTCGGCGAAAGGATCTCAAAGGGTGTTAAGAGAATGGACTATTAAAAATACATATAATACTTATCTTTGCTTAAAATAATCATTTTACAATCAAGTCTTTATCATTGAATTAATATAACTTATGATTGTACAATGACTTTTAATGATAAATTTTACATGTATAATTTTTAGCTTACCCATTAAATAGTTTTTAGACAAAATATAATGTACTAATATCATTTTAAGAAAAGTGCAAGCTCAAAACAAAAATTTTTCTTTTACGTCTAAGTTTCATTTCAAATGACATAGAAGAGAGCATGAAATTGGTATGAATTTTGGTTTTTAAAATATATTGCAAAATAAAGACAAGGGTAAAACAAATTTTCTTATGCCACAAAAGTCTACTCACCGTTGATGAAAGAATCTCGTGTGGGCAGCATGCTAACAGGAAACTCTTGCAGACCTTTGGATCCGAGTATTTCACTTGAAATTTGTTATTCTCACCTGCAAGTTTGACAGAATTTTATTAAACAACTTTTACAACGATCAATATTTTATTGTTCTTTTGTGCATGAGTGTGTCATGGAGTAAAAAATACCTATATTAATTTTATTAACTGATTTCTCATTTGTAATTATCACAGTTATTTTTATGATAATGCAGAAAATCAATTATGGTATAAGTTGGCGTCAACTTATCAATGTACCAATATGTTATCATGAAATATAATTACACTGTTGATAAGTCTAGGCACAGAAATGTAATAAAAAGACCATAAAATAAATAAGTATTATTTACTTGGGGTATAGAATGAACTTTATTTTTGACTTATATCAAAGTCACAATTTCATAAAAACTCGTTAAAATTATTTCAAATACAGGTAGTTAACTTTAAAGACTTTTAAAAACATTCTGTAAATTTTAATACTTCAATAATAATTTATATCTTTGGCAATATAATACCCAAAACAATATTTTTAAATAATTATTTTACTAGATTACTATACATGAAAGTTATCGTTTAACTAATCAGTATGTAGATTATAAAACATATTTTATAATAGAAATATCAAAATTAAAAGAAAATATCAAAACTTAATATAAATAAAAGTTTTAAAATAATCATGATATTAAATTTTATTTGTAAAGATTTTGGACATGAAATTTCAATAAAAGCTAATTTTTTTAGACAGAATATGATTTTCTATAAATAGAGCAAAGCCTGACATTGCTATAAATTATATTATATTCAGTCTTGCAATCAAATTACATGACGATTATTTTCTAACCTAAAAAAAAAACTATTAAATATTAAATAATAATAAAAACATTTCCAGTTTATGATCTGTGCAATAATGTGAAAAACATGAAACAGTTCCAAAATTCATTTCACTTTGACTAACAAAGATTTGTTCCGAAAGTAGTTCCCTCTAATTATAACCTGGATATAATTCAATAATTTTATTCTGAATTATGCAAATACTTATACATGACTGTCAATTACTACAGCACAATATTAAAATAAAATTTATTTTTAATTTCCTTCATCAACTGCATTATTTGAAATCAAAAATAAAAAAAAAACTTTTTTTTATTAAATTTATAAGAAGTTCATACAAAAATAATACTCTTATTTTCAAACTTTATCAATAACCCAATAACCAAAGATTACACCCAACAAGCCCAGATGATTTAAATAACTTTATGCTTAGTATCTGAAACATTATATTGCTATAAAATATATGGAAAAGAAAAGAATATACATGCCATTATTGATATCATTAAAAAGCCTGTTTGGTAATTGTTTCGCCTAATGGATTTAATTGTTAATTGCAGGATGTAAAAATAAATCAATTTTTCTAATGCATTTAAGTCATCGTGACGACGATGATACTACGGCCAAAACCAGCACATACTACTGTATAGAATTAAGAGACAATAATGGTATATCTCATTACAGAACAATAAAGCAATTACGGCAAGTGAGCTTGATTTAAACAACAATATTGATTAACACGTATCCCACGTAGGCATAATGCGTCCCTTAGCCGATGCATACATTATCGGTATTCGTTAATTATGCAAGAGACTAGATTTAGCGGTGGATAAGCGCGATAGTATGAAATTTCATAAAAAAGCGAAAGTGGTAGGAAGATACGGAAGGGCAGCGCGAGTCTGGCAAATCGATAGCTCCGAGACAAGGAAGCGTGGACTAGACGGCGGCCCGTGAAAAATGATTGGGACATCGAGGAAAGGTCGGGGCATTGGCACGCTCGAAACCCCTCTCCGCTCCCCTCGTTAAAAACGCTCACAACCCCCTCCCGTCACTCGTCTGTCTGACCAACTAAACCACGACAGCTCCGTGGTATCGAAAACAAAAATTTCGCGGCGCTAGCACGGAGGGGCTTCCATTTTGGATGTCAGACCACGAGCGTCTCCTCCTGGCGTCTTGGCCGTGCCTCCCAGTAAATCCTTACCGTTTCGTCCGGTACCCATTAGCTGGTCGAGCATCGCTCGCATCTGGTCGTGGGCCGTCATTCTCTTGCTCGTCGTTTAATCGGACGCTAGAGACTTAACCGGCAATACGACTATCTCCTTAGCAGCTGGATTTGCCTTCGTCCACTATCGTCGTCCCCGAGGCAGATGATCCGGAATTGCGTCGATGGCCCTTGATCGAAAACTTCGTTCTCGTGCGGTCGTAGCCTCGAGAACCTCGCGAGCCACTCCGGCAACGGCAGCAGCAGCTCTTCGTGCCTACCTCGAAGGTATCGAGTAGTCGTGCTTCGTGTCGCTTTCTTTCGCTCCCAAATAGCAATCACGACGTTGAGGAATGAGGCGGGACTCTGGCAGCTCTTAGAAAGGATGGAAGTACGGAGAGAAACAGCTTGGTTTGGTGCGACGACAGCGCTCTTCGGTTACTTCGGACTTCTTGTTTATCGATACCCGGTAAGCGCTCCAACTACTTTTTCTTCTTTTTAATGATTTTATTACTATCGTCGCCCGTGACTGCTCCCCCCTCGTCATAATTTAACCGAATGATTTATTGGTAATGCTTAAATTGTGGGACTTGGCTTAACTCATAAAGTGCTAGATGGTCGTTTTGACGCATTACGAAAGAATTTAAAATAGGAGGAAAGAAATAGTATTTAATTATTCAAGAAGCATGCACGTGAACAGTAGAAATTATTAAAAGTAAATTATATGGAATATAACACTATACCTATTTACTCTGTATTTAATTAATCCATTCATTCATCTATTTGTTTGTTGGAATTTTTTGTATTTGTTTACGATGGAATTAGGTTATCATTCGTGATAGGAACTTTTATGAATATATCATTCACACATTATTTTTCTTATTATGGAATTATCACTGTGTAGTCACCTATATTTTTACTTGCCATTCGACATTTCGACTATTTACAATTAAAACTAATGCATAACGTAAAAAAAATATGAATATATTACTTCTGTTACTATTTCTGTATCAAAGATTACCAATAAAGAAAAACAATATTAAATAGAATAAAGCTTCATTTTATAACTAATTGCTAATGTACATAAGTACAAATTAGCATAAAATAAATTTGTAATCTTATTAATTTGCAGTCTAAATTTTAAAAGAAAGATTCAATTTAAAATTGATTACAATTCAATTCAATTACAATTTAGATTATAATTCTGTGAATAATATTAAGTATTAAGGTTCACATATAAAATCTTAGTTTGATATATTTGTATTGACGTTGAAACTTATTTAATTCTAAATTAGATTTTTAATTGAATGACAATTTGTAAAAATTTATTAAAAACTATTTGAAATACTTTATTGGATGAGGCTGATAAAAAGTCTGTTTTTAGTTTGATTTTTTTCTGTTTATTTTTAGCAAAAGTACAAAAAGTTCATTATTGACTTAAATACTAAGTTATAATCTTTACTTTATTATTATTAAAAAGTGAAGAATAAGTGAAAAGTTGTAAATCAAATGATATCTTGTAATTGAAAAGAAGTACTAGGACTTATTTGTTATAGGATTTAAATAATTTAATGAAGGCAACTTTTTTGATTTTTATACTACACGCTTTTTAAATTCAATAGAATATATTAATATTACAAATTATTTTATAGTTATTTTTTGTTAATTTCATAAGTTCAATATATCCAAGGCTTGAGGCATAAAAGTGAAAATTGTCCATTTTTCACTTTTCTTTAGAGTATCAATCAAGTACCGATTCAAATGGATTGTCAAACATTATAAAAAGACAATTTAATAAATTTGAGCCTTTGATTAATCGATTGATACTCCCTCGCTTATAATATTGCTTCTTATAATTTCAGCAAACATAACAGGGAAACAATCCTAACCTACTCAGACTAGACTAGCACTAAGTAATGAACACTTCAAGCTAGCTTCTATATATAAGGTAAGGATGTATATATATATATATATATATATATACATATATTATATCCACACACGCACATACACCTCTGCACACATATGTATATAAATTACTTTAATTTAAAATGCGGAAGAATTTAGTTTACAAAAAAATATAAATTATAAATATAATATTTCTTTATATTTAAGCATATTATTTAATACTTCCAACAAGATTTTACTTTCAGTTCATAGAAGTTTATTATATATTTATTATAAGTTTATCTTACTTAATTAAGTTTATAGCTTAATTAGTTGAATATATTAAATAATTGAAGTTTATTTTTAACTAGAAAAGTTTGGAATTATACAATAAAATGCCAAAATGAAAAAAGTACCTTAAAATTAACTGGAACTCAAGATTCTACAACATAAATTCTTATAACTTTCAAGTCTTTATAAATTTGTTATTTACAAGATTTCTTTTGTATGAAAATAGGAAAATTTTTTTAATAAGTAATGAATTAATAATTCTAAAAAATAGTACTTAGAATTTGGAATAAATCCAAAGTTTCTGTATACTCTACAAAGTCATAGAGAAAATCTATGTTGTTGCGAATTACAGAAGCAAATCCATTATTTTATTTAATTACACAAAACAAATGAACGAAACTCATTTCGTTCAGATTGTGTTAGTCAATTTAAGCAAAATGGCAATGTTAAATCCTAATGTAAACATTTTTCCATTGACTTTGATTTTTGGAGTTAGTTATTGACACACTATTCATAACCTGGTAATTTGTTGATATTTTAATTTTCTTACTGATACACATACTGGATAATGAAATTATGTTAAATTAAAAACAATTAATCTCATTTATTGAAATAGTTAATGGTAATATATGAGTAGTTTTTTAACTACTTTATTAATTTAATTTCATCAAGTACAATTTCAAATTACATTATAATGCTTAAAATTTCATCCTTCATAATGAGATGTTTTTGTTTTCATATCAAAATATGATTTTTAAAATCCGATCTATTTGTCAATAAGATAAAAAGAAAAGAAGCATTCAATTTTTAAGGAAAAGTGGCACAAAGTTAACTGTGAAACTGCATGACCTTAGTTATTCATGAATATTTTTAATAAGATATTTCAATTCATTATCTACAACAAATTTGATATAAAAGTCAAATAATGTGTAGAAATATTAAAAGTGAAGTATTGAATTTCATTTGTTTAGTATAACATATTACTCAGTTGGTTTTAGTGATGCAACATAGTAGAGATTTAATTTACGTAACAGAACTATAATTTAAACATAAATGAATAATACGTAATATAAATAATTTATAAATAATGTCGTTAATGTTCGCACATTGTATAATTTACAATTTTGCATCAATGGCAAAACAATGAATTTTTAATTATTTTATTACAAATATCATTATTAATGAAATCATTGTAGGTTACATGATATGGACGTTTAATCCATAATCCAATTTTTAACAAGAAAATGATTCATTAAAAATAAAAATATATCTTACAAAATAAATTAAAAAAGGCCCTAACGCTGCTTTAAAATACTAATGAAAGCCAATATTAGCGTTTGAAGAAACGTGACCTTGGCTGCATTTCGTTACATTGTTTTTTACGCGAAACAAAGCGGCACTTTTTAACATAATTATAAATTTTGGTCTTCGATACACAAATCAACAAAATCAAACGTTCACTTTATAAAGCATAATATTTTCGAAAAATAACGTCCTTATTTACACGATAATAAGATTCGCACGGCGGATGATTAAATTATACCGCCATAAATATGATAAACATATATGCACCAATAAACGCATTACACTCGAATAAGCAAAAAGTACTAATGCAATGAGGCCAGATGATCCGAAACATAATCGACATTCACACTTGTTCAAATGTTAGCTAACTAAAAATTGAAAACCGCTGATTTATCCGGTGTATAAGAATAAATCTACTATGAAAACAAAAGGAGAGGAAAGGAAGTAATAAACACAAAATTGCATTTTCATTAGGCTTGACTAACCGTTTCGAGGTACTATCTTAAATCATCTAGTTAAAGCGCAGTCTCGAGAGTCGGGGCGCTTGGGCTACGCGTGACGGGTCCGACGTCTATCTGTACAAGTGTTTCGGATGCTTTGTTACGCTGGATGTTCTGTTGGGGTGATTCTGAGCGCGCTCGAAAACGCCTCCCGTAGAGGTCTTTGGGCGCAGCTGGACTTGCGAGGAATTGCGCCCTGGCTAGTTGATTGCTCATCCTGCGACTCTCGAACGCTTTAATGGGGCTACTCAGCTCGTCCGTAGAAGCCGACCGTTTGGCCTCAACAGCCTGTAACCGATTTTCTAGTTCCTTCTCAGATTTGCCGAGTCGCTGGGGTATGCCGTCTATTTCCAGCTGACGACGCACGGAAACGGTATCTGGAATAAGTCTTTGACTTGGTACCGGAGTCTCCGGCGAGGAATTCATGGCCTTTTCTTCCGCGGCTGCGTCCTCAATTATCGTCGACGAAAGGACGTCCGTGCGTGGCGTCTGGAACCTCCAAGCCGACCGCGGACTCAGGACCTTTGTCAATGCTGTCTGCTGTCCGAGCTTCGACGAGCACTGATGCTGCTGCTGTTGAGGTTGCTGCTGAGACTCTTGGCACTGCTGTCGCGTGAGTTTCAGCTGTTCTGCTGCCGAGATCCTCGTGGGACCAGTCTTAATACTCTGCTGGAGCAGAAGTCGTTTGAAATCCATGCGCGACGTCGTCGATGGCGACACGATAGTCTTTGGAATCTGAAATGGAGTCGTTAATTAATAGCGATTTTGACTTTCTGTCGCACAAGCAGAATTTTTCCTTTGCGATGATTTTAAATTTAATGAGTTTTGCCGTAGCAGATGAAAACAGTATTTTTATTATTTAAGGAGCGGGTGCTTTTCTTTTTTTGCGAGATATTTTGTCGTATATTTTACAATTTGTTTACGAGATTACAATTTATCTAAATGGAATTGCTTCACCATGAACACGAGCTTCTTAAAGAAACTCGATAAATAGGTAAGTAAATGTAAATGCAGCCCAGAGCTATAAAATATTCGGTGTTTGTTAAGTTATCAAATATGTTTGAATAAGCTTTATTAAAATCGAATAAATTTCTCGTTAATAGGGTAGTACAGTGACTAATTTTTGTCATTATACATTGGACATGATTTGAAATTCGATAAAAATAATCGTGCTACGATAACAATGACCAAATATTGTATTGTTTCGAATTACCATAGTCCGTGGAAATGAACATTGCTCGTGAAAATTTTCGTTTGCTATTACGAATGACTTTATAAAAATTACTTTATAAAATTAAACTTTATAACTTTCCCTTTATAAAACGAAATTTGCATTTCGCCTATTGAAAAAGCTATTCGGAAAACAGGAGGCGTCTATTCATCGGGGCGACCAGAGTGTATTTCTAAGTCCACGATCAAAGCCTCGCACACTATTGACCAATACTGGCGCCCGCGAAATTGATAATTCTACTAGTGGCCAAAGTCCGGCTCAAGAGCTCACCTCGGGTAGCTTCTGCGACTCGGGACTCCAGCTGTGCCGCGTCCCGATGGTATGTTGCTGTCCCTTGATGAGGGAGGTGAGAGAGCAAACGGGCGAGAGGCTCTCGGGATCGTCGCGGATGTTGAGTCGCCGCTTGGACTTGTGAATAGCCGCAAAAAGCTCTTCGTTAGACATGGTGCTTTTTATGGGCGAGAGGACGAGGCCTGTGGGCGTGCTCCTGCCCGAGTCGCAGGGAGGTGAGGACAGCAGCTGCGTCTCCGAGGTCGCGTGGCGCAGGATACTCGGGTTTGGGGAAGCGCACCTCTGAGTTTGCAAGGCGAGTCGCTCGACGACGGTGGTGGTGGCGCGGCTCGTTGGTGTTGACGACTTGAAGCCGTTGGAACGCCCTGGGCCAATCGGCGACAGCGGTGCCAACTTAAGGTTATCCTGGATCGGTGAAGCGAGAAGGCGGTAACCCAGTGCTGACAGTCCGAGCGGTGAAGCGAATCTGCAATAAAGTGAATTAGTCAATTAAGGGCGTTCGAGGGCCGTGGACGGATGTACACTTGTTCGAATACGTTAACTAAGATATGCTGGAAGGGGCACGGTACTCACCTGTTTTTAACGTCCACTGGTGTATGCCTCTGCTGCTCTTGAGCCGCAAGCTTGCACGACGCTTCGAATTGTTCGAGATTCTTTTGGTTGAGATCGAGCTTGTACCTCGCCTCGAGCTGCTCGAGGTTTTTGCTATTAACGTCGGATTGGCCGTACTGTTGATCGATGAGTCTTTCAGCGGAGTCAGACTTTTGGCCCTGCCTGGCGAGCATGTGCATAGCGCTGGGCGGTCCGCGTGTCAGACCCCTGGTTATGTCGGGTGTAATGCTCCTTGGTGGGTCGACGACGATTTCACGACTGGGCCTCCTGCTGGGGAGGGTGTAAAATCGTTGCTGGTTCTTTTGGCAATTCTGGAATTGGTGCGCGTACTTCCTTTCATTTTCTGCATGATTCGAGTAGTTTTGATGCTGACAGTGATTGTCAAGATTGCTTTTCTTGTAAATGAACTGCAAGTAGGGTTCGGGCAAGTTATGAATGCCGGGTGATTTCCGATGGTGCTGGTAGGTTTGATGATTATACTGTTGGTGATTATTGGCCGGTAAATTTTTATTTCCATGATGGCTCGGTGTCGATTCATGCTGTTGGAAGCGATTATCATAGACGACTTGGTTTGGATAATCCTCGTGAAGCTTCGGGACATGGGGGGGTCCGATATACGGCGGTGGCTGTTGCTGTTTTTGTTGCTGTTGTTGCTGCTGAGAATATGCCGAGGACGAGACCGGCTCGTTTGGCTGGATCGCGAGAAATGTATTATCTGCAACAGAGGATGAGAGAACTTACAATCGAACACTTTCTATTCTGCACTTGAAGTTATTACTTTCTAAGAATATTGTAATAATGAATGCTTGTGAATCGTTTTTGCAGAGTCAAGTCCAACGACTTAATTTATAAACACTAATCACGCTGTTTTGTAAATTTTTTATTTTGCAGGGCATTGGATGATTTCATGTACCGAAATAAAAAAAGTTTGGCATTTACTTAAAACCTACGTAAAATGTAAATTTAATATTTACTTAAAACGATGATCTTCCCGTATCAACAATTTATTTCCTATATTCATAAAGTTCATATTTATATACGACTGTCATTTTCCTATTTAACCTATTTATTTTATATTTCCTATGTAAATGAATTTTGATAACAAGTAAATTTAAGAATTACGATCCACATAAAGAGTGATATCTGTAAATTGCATACGCTTTATTAAGTTTTGTATTGCTTGTAAAACTAATACGAACGTTTAGCTTAATAATCAAAATTATGATCGTTGATTTTGTATCATCATTTTTCTATTTAATTGATTAAAAATGGTTAGGTTAAATAGTTAGTAATTCTTTTCAGTCGTGTTAGGAGACAACAATTGCAAGCTTCGTCATGCCTGAAGATTAAATTTAGTAAGCAATCATCTTGCAAAAGCATCAACAATCTACTAATTATTATTTCAATTAATACCCAAGTTCAATTGCGAAAGACCATAAATAATGTAAAAAAAAAGAAACCAGTAACTTCCTTCGAAATTGAACTAAATATTTTCTTTACGGATACATGCATGAAATGAGAAAAAAATGTACTCACCGAGCATGTGGTATGCAACTATGATAGATGAGAGTTACTATATGAAGGTGCTGCACTCGAGAATGGATGCATTGGTGTAATATTTTCATACCAAATGTGTCTACAGTTTATGCCGTACAAAAGTTACACACAAAATTATAAAAAATAAAAACACACAAAAAAGAAACAAAAAAAGTGTCAAAGTTCGATTGAGACACAAACTGGTGAAATTCTATAGTAACCATGTATCATTATAATTTTTAATTTAGTATCAAACAAAATGCTAGCTATGTGAAAAATTTAGTTTTACAAACCGGTCTGGCAAAAGCTTATACGTACTTTCACAAAAATGTAACACGAATTTATATGACAATTTTTAACAAACATTTGTTAATGTAATTTTTTACATCATTTACATGCACTAAATAAACTGCTATTTATTAATAATTTTTTTATCAATAATCTCTTCAAACATTTCAAGTATTTTAAGATATTTGACAATGACAAATCATTTAAGCAATTACGTAATAAATTACTTACTTCGAAACGATTAACGCGTAATATTTTCATTTTTTAATTCAGAGTTAAGTTAAGTCAATCTTTGTTAGTAAAATTTCGAAAAAAAATTTCACCAGACTCTTAACTACAAACCTGTCAAGCCAAATTTCTTACGCGAAAGTAAATTTTACTCGTGCATGACAAAAAATTGTTTCCAAATGTTTAAAATTTCAAAAAGAAAAATAATTAAAAATGCAAAGGAAACGAAATATTTATTTTGCTTTTCTTAATAGCTGTGCAGTGTGCAAATGTGTAATGAGAAGTGCGAGAGATTCTTAAAAACAAAAAATATGAATAAAACACAGATGCGATTCTCTCTTTAATTATGAAAGCTATTCACATACATTTGCCAATAATAAAAATAATAATATTAATAATATAATATTAATTTTCATAATGAATATAATAAAAATAAAGTAATTTAGTGATAATAAATAGTAAGTTCATTACATTTTATTTAATGACATCATAAACGTTTTAGTTATATTTATACAATGAAATATGTACAAATAAAAAATAACAATAAATTATATACAATCTTACATTATTAAGTGCGCTAAAAAAGTAAAAAAATTAAATATAAAGAGGCGTAGAAAAAGAAAAATTTTGGAAACTTAAATAATAAATCACACGTGTACAACATGTGTACTGAACGTATAAAATCTTCCCTACCCGTGTTGTAAGTGTACGTCCTTAAGATGTGCTATCATTTCAATCAAAATCAAATATGGATGAATTATTTTTCTGCACAAATAAATATCCTTTAGAACTTACAGTTTATTTTTCTGACTGTTATAAATATTATATTATATAAATATTTATAATCGCAAAACAACAGTCTATGTATTAAACAGAATGTAGCAATCGTCATTATTATTATTTCAAAAATACTTTTCAATTAATGATTAACCATGTAAACCAAGCCATGAAAAAAAAAATTGTTTGCTTCGGGAACTTTGTTGCAAATTTGTAATAACGTTTAAAAAGATCCTGAAGAAGTTAGTCGAGTGTTAGTCATTCCAACATCCGCAGACCAGACTTACAACGCGAGGCGAGCACTACAAATGCACAATTAATTTTCATTCGTCGTTTTATTTCTTAATTAACGAAACAACAACAAAATTAACAACAACAACTAAGATTACTCTATCGTTTTCACGTGCGACAAGGACAGCGACCAACACTGGGTTAATAATTACGGCTGACTTAATTACTTTATGTACTTTTGATTTCATTTTTACAAACTTATAAAGCGTATTTACAATTTATATTTTACAAAAAATAGTTCTCTGAACATTAAATGAAATACTCATTTTTATTATCTTACAATAGTATAAACGTTTTTATCTAATTTATGCTTATTTAAAAAATAATTTGCAATATATAAAATAAATATTTCATTTAAAATTTTTATTCTATTTAGAATATATAACTATGAAAGATATTAGATCAGAATACTTTAATTCCAGAGATAAAATGTATGGTTTATTGCGTTTTTGTCCTCAAAGTTTTGCTTCGATTTAGGTTTGCTTATATTATATTCGTAGTACTTATTAATCACTCATTCAACTGGAAGGAGAACTTATTTAAACTGATTTTTCATTTTACTTTTTGTAGATTTTCACTACTCAAAGTATATTCACTTCAAATATTTATCTACAATTTATAGTAAAAACTGTGATTAATCAAGTATTCATTAATTATAATCGATTCTATCTATAAAATGATAATTCTATCATAAAAGAATCAATGGATAGCATGTAACATTTATTAGTCATTGGATAATGTACTTGATTTAGTGGAAATGATCTAAAAGCAAATTTCAAACACGATTCTTTTAAGGACATCATCTCATTTATTCATTAAACAATATATTTTTAATGCATGAAAAAAAAATATTTATAAAATTTATACATTTAAATAGGTGTAATTAAACAATTATGAACTTTATAATTTAGAAACATAAATAGTATTATACAATAATCGAGAAATTAATAGCACTTTTTTTTAATCATAATTGATTTACCAATTAATTAAATTATAAAGATTTTTTCTCTTATATAAAAAAAATATTCTAAATTAATTTATAATATCAATAAGATAGTATTAGTAGTCAAGTTGATGTTCTAAATTTTAATTATTTTTTGTAATTTGATCATATTTATGAATACAAAATTTTAATTGAAATATAAACGAATGCATAGAAAATTTGGACAAAGTGTATAAAAAATACACATAAATGAAATACATTTTTGAATTTTCCAATAAATTATCAATATTATTAACACTAAAACCATACAACATAATTTTCAATTGGTGTTGCTCTTTCTGTCCTTTTTAGCAATAGCCAAAAAATATCTTGTGCTTTATTTAAATTGAATTTTAAAAGTGCAAGTTAAAGAGAAAATATACATAATGCTTTTCTATGTGACAAATGTGTATACAATTAATTACAAGTAAAATTCAATTATATTTGTCAAATAAAGAATATAATATTAAATATAGCTCTTATTTGTTGTTTTACTTTCTCTAATCAATAATGTCAATTGTTAATTAATGAGTAAATATTTGATTTAATATAATATTGATTTGATAATTTGAGAAAAACCTAATATATTTCATGAAATAAGTTCGTGAAATAATTGCTTTATATTCAGAAATTCAAGATCAGCAACTGATTCATTTGATCTACTCTCAATTAAAATTAAAAATACAAACAAATTATTCATCCAGCTTATAAATTAGTACATAGGGTTAAAGTGCGTTAAGGAAAGGGCGTATATGCACATTATAGGATCTAGTTTACAATGCTTAACATTTTTAAACTCTTGCAGATTGTTTTCATTTTTAATAAGTACAAATTGTCATAGTATAAAATAAAGTACGACAAGAAATAATAATCTAATACTGCTCCAAGATCTGAAAATGTCAGACTTTATATAATTTTATGTATCAAAATTATGTTTATAAATAAAGTGATTATAAAAATCTAAGTAAATATCAATTCAGTTACGTAAATCATAATACACTTTTTGAGGTGGGAAGAAAAAATCTTATATTGTCTTATTTAAAAAAAGTCCAAACTATAATTCCCAATTTTCTAGTCCCCATCCTTTAGCCTATACGAATAAAGAATTTTCTATGAAAATATTAAAAACAAACTTCTTCATTTAGCTTATCAAAACGAAATAACATGTTCTTCCTCATTCAGATTAATAAAACAATGTTACAGAACGTATAATCAAGCTAAATTGAAATGTAAGGACTTATATCTAGTTTTGCAATTTTTAGGTATGTTACATTTTTATCAAGCGATTAATTTCGAGCTATTATACAAAATATTTCATTCGTACACAAAATATTTTAAATTAAAGTAAATATTCTTTAAATACATTGAATTAAAAAATTAAATAATAATTTGTTGTCCCTTTAAAAAAAGATAATACAATAAATTTCTCATTAATTAAAAAAAATATATTATTTTTGTTTCAAATAAATTTTAAATAATCGAACGAGCTCTCGGATTATATAGCGATACAAGATGATGATTTAATCATTGTTCTCTTTAGTTGCATTTCGCTCCACTTTTGTAATCGGATTTCGCAAGATGTTTAATGCTTAACTTTTTTGTGAATATATGAG